GGTCATCGTAGTTAAACAGCATTGGGCAGCAGTCATGGCCCTGAAACAAAGTATCAGTCAGGCCTGCAGGGTACGCCTCCTACCCAGCGGCCCCTTAGCAGAACATGTACTGTCACAGGCATTTCCTTCTCTTAAAGGCTGGCCCTGCTCCTCCTAAAAGGCTGTTCTCCTCTGTGCTAGTGCACAAAAGCAGAGCACACACTGTCCCTGTCCTGGGGAATTACAGACAGTGTGTGACAAGTAAAGATGGAGAGAAATACTTACAGCAGCGACAACGCTGTTCTCCGAGACAAACGACACACTCAGGAGGGGCAGGAACTCCGTTTTCAGAGTTGAGACCCTGAACACAGGAATACTTGTTAAGCGGAGATAAAGCTTCTTTACAGACAAAGACGATGACAAAGGACCCATTCTGACAGGGGCTTCGCCAGTATAAACGATTACTTATGTTTAAAAGGAACCCCACGACCTAGGCTTTCAGAAATCTGAAGCGGGAGACAGCCCTGAGGTACCTGCAGACATTGAGGCCATTGGCTCTCTCCAGCCTGGACTCTGCTCCCTTCTGAGGCCCCCCAACTCATGACAAAGTGGCCTACAGCTTGGTCCCCAGCGGGCCCTCGTCCTTTCCCATCTCTGCCTTTGCTCCCATGTCCTTCTGCCCACACGCTGTCTCTGCTCCTCTTGCTTGTCCAGAGTTCGCCTGTCTTTGAAGCTCAGCTCTAATCAGATCACATCTGTGAAGCTTTTCTGGACCATGTCAGCCTAAAGTGGCTTCTCCTTTCTCTGACCTCCTAGAGTTTTTACTGTCAGTTACGACTGAACCTCTTATTCTGCTATTCTGTCCTTGCCTGTGCTCACTGTGGGCTCCTAGAGGGCTGGGACTATAGACAAGGTCACCAGAGCCTGGTCTCTTTCCTCTGCCAGGCACTGGGTTAGCAGCGAGGGCTGCTGATGAACAAGGCACAGTCTTAGCCAGCTAGGAGCTCACACGCAGTAGGTGTGTGTATGTACACATGTGTAGATGCAATATGTATGCTGAGTATATAGCTTAGTAGTTATGTGCTCTAGCACCTGGCCAAGTGGTTAAACAGGCGAGGCAGGCAAACACATTGGTTGACAAATAACTTCATGTAAAAGATGATGCATTTTGAAAATTACGTCTTAAGGACGGCCCCCATCAATACCATTGGTATTGAAGTCCTTAAAACCTCATCTTACAGCCTTACTGTGGCATGCCTGGCTTTAACTACATGAAATATTTATATTTGAGAAGGATGGAGGACATAATCTGACTTGCAGGACCATAAAAGTCAAATAGAAATCAATATATGGGTAGACAGGGGCTTGTAATAAGTATATGCCAAGAGCTCACTATGCATTACAATTGTACACAAATCAAGTAACTATAACATCAAAACATTATTGAATAACAAAAGGCAAATTACTGTACAAAATGTATAGCAAAATACCATTTGTGTTAAAAAATTAAAAGCTATATAAGCACCTACATATGTATAGAAATAATCTAGAAGACTGTATCATTTTTATCAGAGCGTGTTTTTAAAAAACATAAAATTAAAAAAAAAAACACCACAATTCAATCCGTTAGAAAAAAAATATGCTCTCTGAAGTGTCACTTTGTCACCGTGCGGCAGGAGTCAGAGTCACCTGAAATGACTGGTTCTCAGCACACAGGTTGACAAGTCAGGAAACCTTTAAAGGTGGGTTACCTTTAGCTGCCAGTGGAAAAAGATGCACCAGGAAAGAAGACTCATAAGAGGAAAGGATTCCAATCATCTCTTCTTCCAACGGATGATGAACAAATATGAACTGTGATATCTGACAAGACGCCTAAATGCTCTCCTTAAGGCTGAGCAGGCACCCCACACACAAATGAGTCATTGCAATTCAAGTTCTTCCAGCATACACCAGTGGAACCAGCTTCCAGGTTTTAAGTATTACTGAATGAAGTCCCAAAATAATGGAGTCATTGTTCACTGATTACACAGAGCAAGAACATACCACCTATTTAATTTAAGGCTGGTGGGTGACATTTACGTGTTGTAAGGAATTCAGAGTAACAGACTAAACTGGCGATTGGAAGGAACTCTTATCAATAGCAAATCAGGAGGGTCCTTCAAAGAAATCACTATCAGCACTTCCATTAAGGAATGTTTCTGGAAGTGAGACCTAGAGCTCTTTAAAATGTCCCCAAATGGAGGTGACCTTGTTAGCTCAATTAGTTAGAATGCAGTGCTCACAACATCAAGGTTGCTGGTTCGATTCCCACATGGGCAGCTAAGCTGCGCCCTCCACAAATAGATTGAAACAACTACTCGATTTGGAGCTGATGGGTCCTGAAAAAACAACTGTTCCCCAATTTAAAAAAAAAAAATCTTAAAAAAAAAGTCCCCAAATGGACAATCTAATTGTGCGTCTCTGACTCTAAAGGCTGCCTTCAGTTCTGGGTCAGATTCTCATGCCCAGGGAAGGACAGCCTTAGCCCAGCTGATGAGAGATCCCACCCCACTCCCTGACAACAAAAGGCACACACTCACTGCATGCTTTTTGAGGCATCGGCAAC